AGGCCTCAAATGGGTATCAGGTTAATCCTGAGAAGTAAAGGCAGCCTGCGTAATGCTGACCACATCACCCACGGAAGTGCGGACTGGTTTATAAAATAGCCCTATATGCTCGTGTCTGTGGCTAAGGCGTTGCGAAAGAGCTTCGTAATGTCGGGGTGCCGGGTTCGATCCCAGCTGCGGGCCTTGTGTTGGTTTCGACAGTGGTATCGAGAAGCCGACAGTCCAGAAAGCAATGGCAAACTACTGGACGTAAATTTGCTTAGAAAAACACAACAGCCCAAAAATAAAAATGCTGGGGTTGGTTCTAACGTCCTGTAAAGGAAACGCAACTAGCTAAAAATATGCTCAGTACACCTGTAGGGGTAGACAAGAGTCCTTTACTGAACTAATTTGAAATACATGATAGGTGGCCTACTTTTGATTAAAGTCCAGATAACAGCCTGAGTGCTTTACAAATAAATTCCACCTAGATAAGCAAACATCTGTGGCTGCTACACAAGGTAAAAACCTTTTGCCTTGGCGATAACTTGCAGTCAATTTCCTACAGCGCCCCCCCCCCCTCCCTTTTCCCCCACAAAAATGACGGATTATTTAAGTTCTGGTACAGCCTAAATTATACTAATTCTTCACATATACTTATTTATTTGTTCCGTGACAAAGACTTTGTTTAAAACATTGCCTTGCCCTCTGTTTGACATTTATTTTGCCAAGCATTTTGTGTTCATTCAATCATTCGTTATATCATGTCTTGACCAACCAAATTGAATTTCAAGTTTTGCATGCATGAAGTGAGAGAAGAAATACAAATGAGAAGCTAGTGACAGCTTGTGTCAGTTGTTAATGTAAAAGGCTTCTGACTTTCTTGTTAGTTAAACACTGTTGTATAGCACATTAATTTGTTTAATCAATTCCAACCCAGTATGTTGCACGCAACATTTAGGTTCTGGAACAGGACTGCAGTCAAGAAGTGGACGAACAACCAGTACTTTTCCCTGGAGTTTACAGCTGAAGAAGAAGAAAAAGAAGAAAAAGAAGAAGAACCTTGAGTGCTAGAGGTTCCGGATTCAATTTCCGGTAAGGGCTAGGGTGTTTTCACCTTGGCTCGGACTTCCAGTATTTCCACTGGTCTCTGGGTCGTGAGATCGGACGCCCGTGTGCATTGTTGCGCACGTAAAAAAATTCTTTGGCAGGTGGAAATCTAAAAGAGTAGACTAACGGCGCTGCTCTGGCGAAATTTGGAGTTAAAAAATCTACTCAAAGTATTGCAGGATCCTTGGCGGTGCTACAGAGCCTGTGCACTGTGCTGAGCTTCTTCGGACTCAGAGTTCAGTTAGATAAACGGAGCACTTATGGGTTACTACCCGTGTGCTATGATGTTGATCCGTTGTTCAAACTTCAAACTTTGATACTATCCTGTACAATCTCTTGACACCATCAATGGAATCCAGTCCTAAACCTTTGGCTTCTCTCATCCACATTCCTTTTAGAGTTTCTTTTGGATGTCCTTACTTTTTAAATATCATTATTTCATGTTTTAGTCATCTGGATTCTGTTACTTTTGTTTCAATAGTTTACTTTGATATGTCTTATAGTACCTGGCAACTTTGAATGTTGAAATATTCTATCACAATCTCCTCAGTCACATGTTTTCTTGTAAGATCAATTTAAACAATGAATGACATTTGATAGTCATTGAGAAATATTCACAGATATCTACTTCTTTCTATGTACCGAATTATGCTTGCCCAGTGTGTGTTTTATTGTGACTAGACTAGAATACATATCTTCTTTTTTGCGTTTGGTTTCGTATGCTAGGTAGAGTGGACAGATCTGAAGAATATCTCAGGTGTTTGTGGTCTGGTCTGACAGACCTAATGTGGGAACTGTAAAGACTTTTATTTTATGCATGTGAGCTACTGGAGAACAATTTGATTGTTTCCTGAGAGTCTGTTCAGCTAGTGGGTCAGATCCCTCCCCATGTTGTCTTGTGGATCCCTCTGAGTCACCTGGAGGACTGACAGGCAGTCACAAAGGAAAACAATTTTGCTGTTGGTAATTTTTCTTTCTTCAAGCACTTTGGTTGCATCAATAACTGCTTGCTGCTCTGAAGTTTGTTGAAAGTTTTCCGGCGGCGCATGATGGTTCTACTGTGGTTCCATCTTGAAGCATGATCACTGATCCAGCGCCTCCATTTTTTCTGCTCCCTCCAATGATCCATCAATGTAAACGTGTGCCCATTAAGGTTTTGGGTAAGAGTTGCAGACGTGTTCAAAGGTCACATTCTTCAGCCTGTACATATAACTAAACAGTAACTTTTTCTACCATTATCAGCCCCGAGCCCAATTGATAAAGAAGGTGGAGTTGGACTCACACCTAGCACCTGCACCCAGCACAAACATAACTTTGCTATAGCAACTGGATTCCATTCATAATATCAAAATGACTGCACAGAATAGACAGGAACAAATAGACTGCAAGCCTTTTGTGAATGAATTTGTATTTCTTAATGACTATCAAATGTTTATCAATGGCACAACAGTACTCTGATAATGATGAAAGCATTATGCATTATTTCCCTTGTTTACTGTAAATATCAATGAATTATGATTTATTATTATCTTGTTAGTTTCAAGAAAAACGGAATCAAATGCTAATTAAAAATGTCTCAAACTGCATGATTTTAAATAACATTTTTAGATAAATAAAATGTCACAGTAAATTAATAAAATCATGCCATAGACTACAATATTTGTGATGTGTGTTTTACCCACAGTGTTCTTCAAATATATTTACAAGTTCAACACTGATGTACAACACGTTTTAAATACCAATAGTTAAATATTTATAATGTTCTTATAAAGTTAAAATTCAATTTGAGAGGATCAATTTCGTTGCACTGCACATAGCTTGGTTCTCTCCAAAGAATGTCTAGCCGCCTGCCACAGTATCACACTTGCCACAGTATCATGCCTGCCACAGTACATGCCACAGTATCACACCTGTCACAGTATCATGCCTGCCACAGTATCACGCCTGCCCCAGATGCCAAACAACTATCAGCTATCAAGTGTTTGGTTAATCATAAGGTATTCTTATGTGCAATTTGAAAAATGTCACTAATTACACAGATTTTGAATACCAAAGTTAAAATAACATTATGTTCCTTTCAGTTGCAAAAGTAAAGCACCATTATATAACTATGCGTTCCCTTTTATGAACAGTCTTCTTCTTCTTCGCATTCACCGACTATAAACTCCGACGGAAAGTTCTTGTTTTTCGTCCACTTCTGGACTGCAGTCCTGTTCCAGAACCTGAGTGTTGTGTGTGCATCCGTTTGACAGATCTGATTCATTTGTGTGCAGACTGTTGGTTCCTTGCCTCTGCTTGTTGATTCAATCGCCTTAGATTCAAACCTGCAGGCAAGCAGATTTTTATCAACATTGACCCAGGTTGACCTAGGCTTCAAGGGTGACCCGGCTTGAAATAAGATAATGTCATGGGATGAAAAGGCGGCGCATACAATGTTACACCCATCAACCATTGAGTGCCAGTTAGTCTACACACATACAAGTCTAGGATTCTCATACCAGATGTGCCACTGGCATTAAAAGGAGCCTTTACTTACAAACTTACTTGTTCACAAGCCAATAACCTTTGGAATCAGTACTCTCTGCTGGCTGCTGAAAATGAGGATGGAGCACTTATGGGAATGTCATTAGTGCTGTGATGTCAATTCTAAGCTCAGTACTCAGCACTCACTCAGTATGCTTGCAGCACTCAAACCAAAATGTCCTCACTTTTAGGTATATTGGACATATGGTGCCTGTTCCATATTAGTTTCTGTGTGGGTTCTGGGGCTTATTAAGGGGGGGGGGGGAGAAGACCCACTCCCCCCTCCTATAATCACATAGTAAAAGTCAACTAAATAACAGTTTTTCCTTTAAAGTCAGGGTGTATCTGCCTGAGAGGCCAGGAACCAGCAGTCTCCGCACACACACACACACACACGCACGCATGAACACACACAGGCACAGACACAAATTCCAGATCTGTCAAATGCAAAATTCAAGTTCTGGAATAAGACTTAAGTCCAGAAGTGGATGAACAACCAGAACTTTCGACCAGACTTATAACGGTAAATGTGAAGAAGAATAAACGTTAATCAGCACTCAGTGATTGATATGGTCAATGTCACACTATTTACTTTTACTTATAATATTTTTCTCCCTATGTGAATTCTGGTGCCCCATTTCTTTCTTTTATTTTTGTTTTGTTTTGGGCTGGGTAAGGATGTGTGTGTGCGTGCATGCGGGGGGGGGGGGGGGGGGGGGGGGGGGGGGGGGGGTGTCTAAAGAAGAGACCCACTACCCCTTAATAAACAATGTCATAAAAGGTGACTAATAGAGGATTTGCTGAAATAGAATGTCTTGGACTGAAAGCAGCAGATATCACAGCCTAGCTGTAAACCAGAATAACAGTGGTATAGTTGCTCTTTTAAGGGAGAACACAGAAGAAGAGGACAATTTTTCTAGCAACGAATTTAGACATTTGTATCCTCTGTATTTATATTTATATAGCGCTGAGGTAACTTTGGTTGACTCGTCATAAACTATTCACAATATAGAACATCTCTGAAATATTTAGAGCAATGTTTCTTGGAAGATGTTTGCCTCACATGCATTTTGGTGAGGACAAATAAGCTAATATATAAGTGAATTGTGATTCTAAGGATATCAAAGGCATATAATGGGCAAAACAGTAAATATGAAACTCAACAAAGTATTTAAAAGGGAAAGACAAGTCTACAACAAGCAGATAAGAACTATTCAACACCTGAACATCCATGGGTTTGTTTTTCACCTCCTGATCTAGCTAATGTTTGTTTCTCAATTTCCATTAAAATTATTTTAATTGAAATATTCTGAATATTCATTTTAAATAATACTTGAACTTTGTTTTGTACAAATGAATTATTGGTTTTTGAGATTTTTGTAAAAGTATCACAACTGGTCCAAGTTAGTGTGCTTCTTGCGCGATTTTTTCCCAGTTACAGAAGGGAGAGCATCCAAACGAACTGGCTTGCGCATAATCTCATCATTGTGCAGCTGACCATGAACTTGGGCTGCTCGTAAGTCTTTACTGATTGTGTCCTCGTAATTATGGTAGCCATTGACGGCTGGTGAGCCCAGGGACAAGCTGGAGCGTATTGTGCTGCGTACATCTTGCATATCTGTTAATAGGAAAAATATACGTGTTTTAAATTATAGCTAGAAAAATAGATACAAGCTAACAAATCTCTTCTTCTTCTTTATTCTTTGTTCACCATGTTTTAAATTATAGCTAGAAAAATAGAAACAAGCTAATAAATCTCTTCTTCTTCTTTATTCTTTGTTCACTGGCTGTAAGCTCCGGTGGAAAGTCCTGGTTGTAGCTACATGAAAATGAATCTAATCTTCTTCTTCTGATTCTCTGTTCACTGGCTGTAAGCTCTGGTGGAAAGTTCTGGTTGTAGCTACATGAAAATGAATCTAATCTTCTTCTTCTGATTCTCTGTTCACTGGCTGTAAGCTCTGGCAGAAAGTTCCAGTTGTAGCAACATGCAAAAAAATCTAATCTTCCTCTTCTTCTTCTTTATTCTTTGTTTACTGGCTGTAAGCTCTAGTGGAAAGTCCTCGTTGTAGCTACATGCAAAGAAATCTCTTCTTCTTTCTTCTTTATCGCCATAAGCTCTGGCAGAAAGTCCTGGCTGTTTGTCCACGGACTTTGGCTTTGTGCCAGTGATGTTTTGCATGTACATCTATTATACTGTCTGATCTGTGTGCATATTGTTCCTTGCCACTCAGGCACATGCATCCCGACTTTGAAAGAAGCGCCCAATCCATAGACTCCTATAACATGCTTTTGGGGAGGCAGTGGGTCTATTCTTCATTCCCCCTCAGTGGTGCCCTAGAACCCGGATGCTGAGCAAAGAAATCAAATTCATTAACTCTGACTAACTGATAATTGAGGACACCCTCACCCCCAAAGTGCATTCATAAAACTGGTATTTTAAAGCATAAAGTAATGAATATTAATTAAATAGTTAATATTCATCATAATCATAACCCTGGATGTCTGAAACGGGATAATTACTGAAATAAAAACAATATAAATAGCAGAAATGATTGAAAGGAATTATTATTTAATATACACAAAGACATCAACAGTTTGGACAATATATATATAATAATCATGATCTGGAGGGTTGAACAGGATATTTATTATATAAAGACTACTACAGGTTGGCTAGGTGGAAGACCTCAGGGAGGCTGAACATTGACATTCAGACTTGTTCTGCTAGATAAGGGTGGCTGACACAAGCTAAGATCAAAAACAAATTACCGCTTAAATGTCACATAAATGGCCTCTCATATTTGGGAGGAAGTTTTAAAGCTCCTTGATTTCTCAAACACTGTGAAATATTTCTGTCAAATCTCCCAATTTATGGATGTCAAGAAGCTATTTAAATTGTTCTAAAATGGAACTGGCTGACCACATTCTCCATCAAGTGCCAATTGGTCTATAAAATAGAGGTGTAGCCCTATATGCCCTAACGCCTGAAGATGTGGGAAAAGGGTCCTTAATTTTGTGCTTACAGTGAAAGAATCACACCTCTGGTCTCTTGCTACTTGTGTTATTTAGTGTCCATGTATGTATATGCTACTATTCTGATATTTTAATATTGTTTATGCTTGGGGAAAAAAACTGGCACAAGAGAGGAGCAAATCAAAGTGTCAGAGCAAAAATCAGACTTCTTTAGGGTTCTAATAACTTTCAGTCAGCAAGCACTGCAGAATCAGAATTTAACAAATAACTGAGAATTCATGAGATCATGTGACTATTTATACAGATGGCTCTGTGGTGAGAGGAAGGAGAAGTACATGAGGGTTGATTGTGAACGCAATAGGATGTCGTTTAGTGCAGCAAAGCCGAGTATACAACACTAAAACATCTGGTTTGAGAATGGAGGTAGAGGCAGTCACAGTATGTTTCTGCTGGCTTCAGAATCAGCTGCATACAAATGTGATTGTAATCGACAACAAAGCATGCTGAGAAAGGAGAAGATAGGTATACTCTGTGCAGAGTGGCAAGCATCACTTCAGAGGTCCCAAGTAGTTAGTCCTTTAGATATTTTTTTGGGGTAAAAAGGTGGCTTGAGAAATGAACAAGCAGACAGACTGGCTGGATGCAACACAAGTTAGATGTGTTCAGGGCCCTTTGGGAGCAAGTGAACAATGCAGAGGCATAGCTAGATCGTTATAGTCTGGAGAAACTGGTGCAGCTAGGAGTGATAAGAGGAATTGTTGGACATTATCACTCAGAGGAAAGGTGAAAGGTGACAGAGCTATGGTGAAAGGTGACAGAGGAAGGGTGACAAGGACATATAATCAAACTGCCACAGGTATTACTGAAACTGGAACTCTTTGTTGATTGCCACTCTTGATCTGTTATCTGAAGAAGGAGATGGAGAATGTTCGGGAATGTCCCAAGTACAGTGATATCAATTCTTGTTTGATTCATTCTCGTTGGTTCCTGAAGATAAGGACTGTATGCTTATGAGAATGTTTTAAATGCTGTGATGTCAATTCTTGATTCATTCATTCATTGGAACTCCTCATTGTTGGTTGCTGAAGATGAGGATGGAGCGCTTATGGGCTTGTTTTCAACTGCTGTGATGTTAATTCTTGTTTTAACTAATTTCCGTATTTTGATAGACAAACTGGCGCTCACAGAATAATATGGTCGACACATTTAACATCTGTGCAACAGCAGCTAATAAAATTAATACAAAATTATGGCACTAGGTTTTAAAATATCAATGCACTTTTTTTAGTAAGATGAGCTTATTTGTTGACAAACAAAGAATGAAATGGTTTGGCCATCAAATGAGAATGAAAGCAACGATGCCAGCAGCAAGAGCATACAGCCTGAAAATTGAAACACCAAGAGGCAGGGGAAGACTGAGAAGAAGATGGATTGAAGGAGTCACTGACACCTGGGGACTGCAAAAAAAAAATCACAGCAAATTAAGCAAACGAGCGCGCTCCTGGCTCTGCTGTCCATTGTTTGATAAACTGCCAAGCCTAGCAGCGTAAGCAGAGCCAAGCCTAGCAGCGTAAGCAGAGCCAAGCCTAGCAGCGTAAGCAGAGCCAAGCATAGCAGCGTAAGCAGATATTGACAAAAGAAAAAAGAAGAAGAAGAATACTTACTAAACTTATTGACTGGCTCACTTGAATTTATGAGCTGTGTAGCTCTCTTGGGTTGAAACATATGACTCTGATCCTGTGATCGTCTTAATTTCTGAAATAATCAAGAGGTACATTAGAGTTAATACAAGCATTATTATTACTGTCCTAACTTGCTGAATACAAGAAAGTTCAGAAAATGGTGGAGCCCTTGAAGTCGTCAAAACAAATGTTCTCTTGAAATGTATTTTATCAGTAATATTGTGCTCGGCTCACTATATGCTACTACCCCTTATAATCAATGTCGTGTGACATTGGTAGTCATGGTTTCCACAGCCTTCTGTCTTGTGTCATCATCAATGAGCGATCCTTTACAGTATGTTGCTCTCTTCATGGCACGCCTGAAAGAATCCTTTTCCCTAGCCAGCTCTCCAGCCCCATGTGCTTTCAATGCCAATGCTTCCTCAATGTCCTGTATCCATCTTCGCAGTGGTCGACCCCTGCCTCACCTTCCACAAACACACCCTCTATCACCGTCTTTTCCAAGCCACCATGACGCTTGATGTGGCCAAAATACTTCAACTTTTGGGACAGGATGCTGTTTATGAGCCAGTCTCCCTGATGTTCAACTCATTTAGAATGTCTGTGTTATGTCTATGTCTTGTGTACCTTTAATCAGTACTGACACAGATGATCCTCCCTCCAAGCCATGAAGTCAAACTGTGCAGCATCTTCTCCCTCTGCTTCTTTTTCCCCTCTGTCATAATGCAGTCTAGCTTCTCCTTTCATGACTCGACCAAAGAATACAGATTATCTCCTTCTGATATAGGTAATCAGTTCTCTTCATGTGTTAATTTCTTTCAAGACATCTTCAATACACATGTTATCTCACCAGATGTTCTCATCATTCATCTGTATAACAACATCTCAACAGCTTTTTCATAATTCTTCACTAAGCAGTTAACTGTCCATAATTATTCTCCTGTGATCAGTTTTACAAAAATATGCACACATTATTGGAAAAGTTGCTGAGCAAACCCTGTGTACTCTCTAACTCTCCTGCCCCAGGAACACTAAAAAAGGTGATGGGTTTTGGGGGTTAGTTTTATAGTTAGTGTATTTATATTCTGACCTCCTAAACGTTCGTGCAAGCAGGAAAATAGACAGGTCACTAAAGACAAGTCATAAACTGTGGAATTGAACCCAAGTGTCAGTTTTGTGGCTTCTCGAGGCAAAAGAGTTCATAATTAATTTTATGTTGTGTCCATAGTGGAAGCTGGTTGCAGCAGAAATGTCCAATGAAACATTTTAGGCATTCCGAAATTCAAAATGGTAAAAGCGGAGGTGAAGAAGTAAGAGTTATTAAAAACAAGGTTTACTAACCTCCCTTAACCTTTCATCATCAACACCACTTTCATAGTCACCAGTGCTGTTGTGAGAATGATGATCCATCCTGGCATTGTTTAGAATTGTACCTGTAAAATCCCATAACTGAATAACTCAGATAAGGAAATGTTAACTATAAGAATGGTTTTCACCAAGTGACCCATTGTGGATGGAGAATAGAGTGACCTCTTTTAATAAACCTTTAATAAAAGGCAATTAATTAATGATTTACTGAAACTGGGTGTGTTAGGCTGAAAGTTGCAGATATAGCACTCTAGATGTACATCATAAGACAATGTTTATTTTTCATTTTTCTTTCTTCCTTCACATACCCACAATTTCACTTGTATATACTCAAGGTAAGAGGGGGGGGGGGCGCATCAGGGTCTTGCCATATACTCAAGGGGAGGGGGGGGCGAATCAGGGTCTTGCCATATACTCAAGGGGAGGGGGGGGGGCGCATCAGGGTCTTGCCATATACTCAAGGGGAGGGGGGGGGGCGCATCAGGGTCTTGTCATATACTCAAGGGGGGCATCAGGGTCTTGTCATATACTTAAGGGGGGCATCAGGGTCTTGCCATATACTCAAGGGGGGGGGGGCATCAGGGTCTTGTCATATACTCAAGGGGGTATCTGGGTCTTGTCATATACTCAAGGGGGGCATCTGGGTCTTGTCATATACTCAAGGGAGGCATCAGGGTTTTGCCATAAACTCAAGGGGGGCATCAGGGTCTTTCCATTTACTCAAGGGTGGCATCAAGGTCTTGTCATATACTCAAGGGAGGCATCAGGGTCTTGTCATATACTCAAGGGGGGGGGGGGGGCATCAGGGTCTTGTCATATACTCAAGGGAGGCATCAGGGTCTTGTCATATACTCAAGGGGGGCATCAGGGTCTTGTCATATACTCAAGGGAGGCATCAGGGTCTTGTCATATACTCAAGGGGGGCATCAGGGTCTTGTCATATACTCAAGGGGCGCATCAGGGTCTTGTCATATACTCAAGGGGGGCATCAGGGTCTTGTCATATACTCAAGGGTGGCATTAGGGTCTTGTCATATACTCAAGGGGGGGGGGGGCATCAGGGTCTTGTCATATACTCAAGGGTGGCATCAGGGTCTTGTCATATACTCAAGGGGAGGGGGGCATCAGGGTCTTGTCATATACTCAAGGGAGGCATCAGGGTCTTGTCATATACTCAAGGGTGGCATCAGGGTCTTGTCATATACTCAAGGAGGGCATCAGGGTCTTGTCATATACTCAAGGGGGGCATCAGGGCCTTGCCATATACTCAAGGGGGGCATCAGGGTCTTGTCATATACTCAAGGGGGGGGGGCATCAGGGTCTTGTCATATACTCAAGGGGGGCATCAGGGTCTTGCCATATACTCAGGGGGGGGGGGGGGCATCAGGGTCTTGCCATATACTCAAGGGGGGGGGGTCATCAGGGTCTTGTCATATACTCAAGGGGAGGGGGGGCATCAGGGTCTTGTCATATACTCAAGGGGGGGGGGGGGGCATCAGGGTCTTGTCATATACTCAAGGGGGCATCAGGGTCTTGTCATATACTCAAGGGGGGCATCAGGGCCTTGCCATATACTCAAGGGGGGGCATCAGGGTCTTGCCATATACTCAAGGGGAGCATCAGGGTCTTGTCATATACTCAAGGGAGGCATGAGGGTCTTGTCATATACTCAAGGGGGCATCAGGGTCTTGTCATATACTCAAGGGGGGCATCAGGGTCTTGTCATATACTCAAGGGGGGGGGGGGCATCAGGGTCTTGCCATATACTCAAGGGGGGCATCAGGGTCTTGTCATATACTCAAGGGGGGGGGGGGGGCGCATCAGGGTTTTGTCATATACTCAAGGGAAGAAGGGGGGGCGCATCAGGGTCTTGTCATATACTCAAGGGGGGGGGGGGGGGGGGCATCAGGGTCTTGTCATATACTCAAGGGGGGCATCAGGGTCTTGTCATATACTCAAGGGGCGCATCAGGGTCTTGTCATATACTCAAGGGGGGCATCAGGGTCTTGTCATATACTCAAGGGGGGGCATCAGGATCTTGTCATATACTCAAGGGGGGCATCAGGGTCTTGTCATATACTCAAGGGGGGCATCAGGGTCTTGTCATATACTCAAGGGGGGGGGGCATCAGGGTCTTGCCATATACTCAAGGGGGGCATCAGGGTCTTGTCATATACTCAAGGGGGGGGGGGGGCGCATCAGGGTCTTGTCATATACTCAAGGGAAGAGGGGGCGGGCGCATCAGGGTCTTGTCATATACTCAAGGGAAGAGGGGGGGGGGGCGCATCAGGGTCTTGTCATATACTCAAGGGGAGGGGGGGCGCATCAGGGTCTTGCCATATACTCAAGGGGAGGGGAGGCGAATCAGGGTCTTGTCATATACTCAAGGGGAGGGCGGGGGGCGCATCAGGGTCTTGCCATATACTCAAGGGGAGGGGGGGGGGGTTGGGCGCATCAGGGTCTTGTCATATACTCAAGGGGGGCATCAGGGTCTTGTCATATACTTAAGGGGGGCATCAGGGTCTTGCCATATACTCAAGGGGGGGGGGGGCGCATCAGGGTCTTGTCATATACTCAAGGGGAAGGGGGGGGGGCGCATCAGGGTCTTGCCATAAACTCAAGGGGGGCATCAGGGTCTTGCCATATACTCAAGGGTGGCATCAAGGTCTTGTCATATACTCAAGGGAGGCATCAGGGTCTTGTCATATACTCAAGGGGAGGGGGGGGGGGCATCAGGGTCTTGTCATATACTCAAGGGAGGCATCAGGGTCTTGTCATATACTCCGGGGTGGCATCAGGGTCTTGTCATATACTCAAGGGGGCATCAGGGTCTTGTCATATACTCAAGGGTGGTATCAGGGTCTTGTCATATACTCAAGGGAGGCATCAGGGTCTTGTCATATACTCAAGGGAGGCATCAGGGTCTTGTCATATACTCAAGGGTGGCATCAGGGTCTTGCCATATACTCAAGGGAGGTCTGACCCGAAAAACTTTAGAGACCACTGGTCGAGAGTGATAAAAAAAAATCTATGAATCAGTCAGGTGCTGTCTTGACAAATAGGTTGTCTGCAATGGATCTTCAACACTCTGTCTCTCATCCTACTTGTATACTCTCTGAGAACACTGTTCGTTCATCTCTTGATGTTATTCTTTCATTTGTCTCATTGCCTACCTCTTGTTCAGTTATGGTTTTAATAAAGTCAAAGTTTTTAGCTTCTCTATTTTTTTTATCTCAACAGCTATCCTACAAAGGGGGTTTAAAAAGCAGTGCACCATATCCTTTTTTTTTTTTAATAATGAAGATAGTAGCCTGAAACAGTGCACACTTTAAAAAAGGCAAGTGCTGATTATGTGCACCAAACTGCATCACAACCAGCCAAACAACATGGCTGCCCTAAACCACTGAAATGGAGCATTTTAGGAACTTGCATTCTAGGGGCCGAATTGTGAAAGAATTTCTCACTGCAGAAAAGGAAACCTTAGTGAACATTCACAAGTGTCTATGTGATGTGTACTGAAATTTTGCAGTCGACAGGAGAACTAAAATTTTGCAGTCAACTAGAGAACTGAAATTTTGCAGTCGACAGGAGAACTACAATTTTGCAGTCAACAAGAGAACTGAAATTTTGCAGTCGACAGGAGAACTGAAATTTTGCAGTGGACAGGAGAACAGTCAGTTGCTGGGTTCAGGACATACTGCCACGGTCACCAACTTAGAAATGTTGAAATGTACTGACTGCAGTTTTCTTACTGATAGCTGAATCACTATTCAGCAATTGGCTTTACAGTTGTTAGCAATGGTAGTGCAAATGCAATTATAAAAAATCCAGGATTTTCTAAGATTTACGCAAGACATTTTTCTCAAAGTCTCACAAATGACTACCCATTGCAAAAGAAAGCAATTTCTTCTAAATTGTTAAGGCATTTTAATGGTGATGGAGAGAATGTTTTGTGCTAAGATCCTTACAGGTGACAAAACCTGGGCACATCATTTTGAACCTAAACAAAAAAGCCTGTCAATGGCATGGCATCATCTGCAATCACCACAAAAAAAGACATTCAAGTCAACTTGTTCAGCTGGAAACGTCATGATCACTGTCTTTTAGAACATGAGGAATGTGATTATTGTGGATGTTATGCCAAGAGGAGAGACAATCAAATGAAAGCTTACATTAAGAAGCTGAAAAGAACTCAGTCAACATTTTTGCAGAGTTTGGCAGTCAACAGAATCCAACTGACCTGCTTCTCCTTTAAGACAATGCACGGTCTCACATAACGCAGGCAGTCTTCACCAAATTCAGTTTGGTCTGTACTACCCCATTCACCCTACAGTCTCAAGTTGCTACCCTCTAATTTTCATCTGTTTAGTCCACTTAAAGATGCACTCCGCAGGATAAGGTTTGAAGATTTTATGGAGTGATTCATGCAGCGAAGAAATGTCTAAATAATAAAGACAAAATTTGGTACGGCCTAGGAATACATGCAACTGTTTCACGGTGGCATAAATCCGTACAAAATCCATCAAAATTGACGCTAGGCACGGGTGCTGTTTGGAGCCGAGGCGGTGGCCGTTGCATTTTTGCTCTATTTGTAGACTGAAAGGATACAGTTTTGTTACCCAGCTTCTGAGTTGAATGCATGATGTGACACTGTGAGCTGAGGATTTCATTTCCAAACACCCCTTATACTATTCTTAGCCTCTCTAAAACTTCTATACTTGATTGTTTTAGTTTAGGGATACAGAAAAATGGAAATAGATTTTATTTACAGGAAGCTGAAATAGAAGAAAGAAAAAAAAACACCAAATGTAAATAAATAAACATGAGACAAACCTGTGACAGGCAGTGCTGTCCTGTCTATGGACATCTTTGGTAAAATCCACTTCTGTTCTTCCTCATTGTAGTGGCTTTTCATTCGGATGCGATCCAGATTATAGTAGTTGCAGTCACGGCGCAGGCATGGATGAATCCGGTCAATCAGGCTCTCCAAGTAAGCAATTTGCTTTTCCTGTTTTCGGATTGTGTCCAGGTACTCCATGCGGTCAAATTCAAACTCTGATTGGATGTCAATGATGTCTCTCTCAAGGCTCTCAACCTGTGATTGGTTGGGTGAAATTGTCAAGATCAGTTCAATTATAAAAGATACAAATTTTAATGTGTGCTCAAAAAAGGACCAACATTGAGTTATAGAGACACATAAGGCCACTAAATAATAAGTGATATAATATTCACAATCTTTATTTTATTCCTTCTCATTTTTAAATGGTTCAAGTTGCTATTTTTAGGTGGAAAAACTGGCAAAAAATTTCCAATACCTAGAAGAAAGGTAACGGTGTGCAGTACAGTTTTAGGCATCATTTTTTTCAGTGCTGCTGTAAGAGACACTTTGTAATGAGTACTGCATAGTGAGTACTTTCATAGTGAGCACTGGCTTAGTGAGTATGGACATAGTGAGTGCTTGCAAAGTGAGCACTGGCTTAGTGAGCACTGGCTTAGTGAGCACTGGCTTAGTGAGCACTGGCTTAGTGAGTATGGACATAGTGAGTGCTGGCTTAGTGAGTACTGGCTTAGTGAGTACTGGCTTAGTGAGTACTGGCTTAGTGAGTATGGACATAGTGAGTACAGGCTTAGTGAGTACTGGCTTAGTGAGTACTGGCTTAGTTAGTACTGGCTTAGTGAGTACTGGCTTAGTGAGTACTGGCTTAGTGAGTACTGGCTTAGTGAGTACTGGCTTAGTGAGTATGGACATAGTGAGTACAGGCTTAGTGAGTACTGGCTTAGTGAGTACTGGCTAAGTGAGTACTGGCTTAGTGAGTACTGGCTAAGTGAGCACTGGCTTAGTGAGTGCTGGCTTAGTGAGCACTGGCATAGTGAGTACTGGCTTAGTGAGCACTGGCATAGTGAGTGCTGGCTTAGTGAGTATGGACATAGTGAGTGCTGGCAAAGTGAGTACTGGCTTAGTGAGTATGGACATAGTGAGTGCTGGCAAAGTGAGTACTGGCTTAGTGAGTATGGACATAGTGAGTGCTGGCAAAGTGAGTACTGGCTTAGTGAGTATGGACATAGTGAGTGCTGGCAAAGTGAGTACTGGCTTAGTGAGTATGGACATAGTGAGTGCTGGCAAAGTGAGTACTGGCACAGTGAGCACTGGCTTAGTGAGTACTGGGCATAGTGAGTGCTGGCAAAGTGAGCACTGGCTTAGTGAGTATGGACATAGTGAGTGCTGGCAAAGTGAGTACTGGCACAGTGAGCACTGGCTTAGTGAGTACTGGGCATAGTGAGTGCTGGCAAAGTGAGCACTGGCTTAGTGAGTATGGACATAGTGAGTGCTGGCAAAGTGAGTACTGGCTTAGTGAGTATGGACATAGTGAGTGCTGGCAAAGTGAGTACTGGCACAGTGAGCACTGGCTTAGTGAGTACTGGGCATACTGAGTGCTGGCAAAGTGAGCACTGGCTTAGTGAGTATGGACATAGTGAGTGCTGGCAAAGTGAGTACTGGCACAGTGAGCACTGGCTTAGTGAGTACTGGGCATAGTGAGTGCTGGCAAAGTGAGCACTGGCTTAGTGAGTATGGACATAGTGAGTGCTGGCAAAGTGAGTACTGGCTTAGTGAGCACTGGCTTAGTGAGTATGGACATAGTGAGTACTGGCAAAGTGAGTACTGGCTTAGTGAGCACTGGCTTAGTGAGTATGGACATAGTGAGTACTGGCTTAGTGATAGTTAAAGATAATTTTAGTTTCAGCTTCATAGCAAATGGGTCACCCCATAGTTGCTCCCCTCCTGTGCCAACGAAAAACACACAGCATGTTCATCACAGTCCCTTGTGGAAAGACTGACAGACTGCTGTCTCAGCATATGCACTAGCATACACACGCACTAAAGCATACAGTAGCCATCAGAAGTGCTAACACAAACAGTCTGACATTAGAAATGCAGTTCATCATTGATGGTAGCAGAGGTAACCAACAAATCTTAGTGAGCACTGGTAGAGTGAGGACTGGCATAGTACGGGCATAGTGAGTACGGGCATAGTGAGTACGGGCATAGTGAGTACGGGCATAGTGAGTACGGGCATAGTGAGTACGGGCATAGTGAGTATGGGCATAGTGAGTACAGGCATAGTGAGTACGGGCATAGTGAGTACGGGCATAGTGAGTATGGGCATAGTGAGTACAGGCATAGTGAGTACGGGCATAGTGAGTATGGGCATTGTGAGTATGGGCATAGTGAGTACGGGCATTGTGAGTACGGGCATTGTGAGTACGGGCATTGTGAGTACTAGCACCTGACTTTCCAGAAATAATGCCCTGCACAATCTAATCTATGAAATTTGTTCACAGCAATATAAATATACATTTTTTTAAAAATGTGTGCTGTAAAACTTTTGTTATACTCGAAGGCTTCAATTCTAAGCCAACCATAACAACAAAACATAATAACTATTAACTGAAGCTGGCCTGTAAAAAAAAGCCATTATTACATCATTTTTGCCTTGTCTGTATCAGAACTTTGAGCAGATATACAAAAGGATAATAACCATAATTAAAAAGAAGAAAAACATATGTTGCCCAATTCCCTACAGTACCCTTATCAGAAGGAGACAATCTACATTGTTTGGTCATGTCATGGGAAAGAGGAAACTTGAATACTTCGTGATGATGGGAAAATTGAAAAGAGAAAGAAGTAAAGGGAAACTGAGAGAGAAGATGCTAGATGGTCAGAACTAATTGAAAGTACAGAAGACAGAAAGTTGTGGAAAGACACAACTATCAACACCATACAGCATGGACTTGAAGAAGAAGTAGAAGAAGCTAGCAGGAAACAGCAGTTTTGCTCTCTTCTACGCACTTTATCTTTGAAATAATAAAATGAATGTAAAAAAAAAAAGTGACTTACTCTGGCTTTTCTTTCCTCCAAAAGTTTATTTTTGACTCGCAGTTCATCCTGAACACTGTCAAATATACTTAGCATGATCCCGTCATCCTCCATGCTCTTGTTAGCATCTGTTACATGATAAATATACAAGTTCACTAACTGAAATATCATGATAAATATACAAGCTCACTAACTGAAATATCATGATAAATATGCAAGTTCACAAATTGAAATATCATGATAAATATACAAGTTCACTAACTGAAATATCATGATAAATATACAAGTTCACTAACTGAAATATAAACATGGCAGATGAGGTATTGTAGTGTCGCAAGCACACATGTAACATTGCCTGGTGGTCTATGGTTCCAATTTTTGTCAAGACAGATTTTAAAATGGGCCTAGGCTTTCATGTTGACTTCGCTCTAAAGAGGGTACCAGGAAATATTCTAGGAAGTAAAACTGGTTGGGGTTATACTGATATCATCATTCATTGTCTTGTTGTGCTTATGATACATATGGCTTACAGTCCATTACATCCTGTGCAATCTCTCAGATATCAGGGATCAAATCTAGTCCAGCACCATTGGCCTCTCTCATCAATGTTCATTTTAGGGTTTCTTTTGGCTATACTCGCTTGCTGTATTTGACAACATCCCTACTAAAGATAAAATGACACTAAATGTGTGTGGGAAATCTGCCAATAGCCATTAGCAAAATTTATTAATAATCATTAACAAAATTCAAATAATTCATAAAATGTGAAAAAAAAATTATTCAAATTTAGAAATTTGCAAGAGTTGAGAAAACATCAATGTCAAAATTTGTACTACTGTATGCAGATGAAATATGGATAACAACTTAAATAATTACTTATAAACTACAAATATGCATCAACTGGTGCCTCTGCAGAACAGAAGGAATTAAATGATATAATAGAATCACTAATGTGGACCTTCGGGAGAGAAGTAAACAAATTCAAATGAATCAAGAGGTGAGAAAACCAGAGTGTTAATGAATAGGAAACACCTCCCCCTTTAAAAACACACACACACATATACACACATGCAGAGGGGAACCAAAGAATGAAGTTAAAAGGATGGGGTGGGGGGAGACAGAAGGCTGAGATGTCTGCAATAGCAAAGTACAAAACTAATTCATGTGACCTGGTTGATGGACTATGCTCCATTTTGAGTTAAAAAAAAAGAAGAAGAAATAGAAAAGCATGCACAGAAAGGAAACAAATCACAATGGAAGACAAATAACTGTATGTGTCTTAGTCTTACAGATCTGAAAGTTTAAAGAAGGAACACAAAATATTAAATAGTATAAGCACTCAAACAAGACATACCCTCCAGTTTTTTGCGTATTGACTGTGCGTAATTGAGTCTGCGGTCGTGTTCTTCTTTGACCTTGACATTGTTAACATTTTCTCCTCCAACCATTTGCTGCTGGAGAGCCAACAGTCTGGGAGGAAAAACAATATATTTTAAAATCATGTTCCTGTTTTAAAAAAAGGTATCATTTGACAAAATCCTCAAGTGGATTCAGGCTTTTGATCATAGAAATGTTGCTTTTAATTTTTTCTCATGCTATTCTACTCTCTCCTCCTCCTCTTTCTTCTTCATCTTCTGCCGCCCATGCTGCCTCTTTTTCTTTTTCTCCTCATTTTCCTCCTCCTCCTTCTTCAGCAATTATTATTTACTATGCATCTTTTCTAAAATGTATTTTGAACAAGACAATGTGCTGAAATATTTTTCCCAATAATTTTTTTCATAAGTGCTTATAAGAGAAAAGAATCTTGTCCAGCTTTTTTTTTCATAATCATGTTAAGTACTCCATGCGAGGGAAAAAAGTAAAATAAATCAATGAACTTTGTTACATTACATCAATTTCAATGCCAGTCTATTAGTCAATGAACAATAAAAAACAGGCAGAAGAATTTGAAAAAGTAGAGAAAGATGATATAGAAAGAGAACGAGAAGAAAATGAAAGTATTTGGAAGAAGCACAAAGTATTTCATTTCCAAAAAAATAATATAAAGCCACCTTGCTAGAGCTTGTTTCTGTTTGTCAGCCATGTCTTTAACGTGCACTGAAGATATATGGCTATCTTCTTCCAGGTTCTGCTGCTGCAGTAACTGTTGTTGCTGTTGTTGAAGTTGCTGCATGTGTTCTTGCTGCTCTTGAAATGAAGTCTCTGTAATGACAGCTTGACCTCCAGGTGCTGGTTCTTCCTGTTGTTTGTAAACATAACACTTTTAGCTTGGATAGTTAGTGGTGGTGGACTTGCAATTAGCTGCATGCTTTACTAAAAGTGCATCATCGATTGTGCTAAACCAAACATAAACTTTACACAAAACCACTTTCACTTGAAAAAAAACACTAAATAAATTTCAATCATTCAACAACACATCAACTTTAAATAAAAAAAATATCAGATTTTTCTGGACAAAAAACATTTTACATCCTTCCGCACCAGAATTTAGAGAGAAATTTAGAGGGAGATTTGAAAGCAAACAATCAAGAGGAAAACAGCAATATAGGTGGTAGCATAAAATCTAGAGATGGAGGAACAGCAGAGCAAGTGTAAATCCAGCATGAGAGACATAGTGTATTAGAGATCAGATGGAGTACACCTTTACTGTGGAGACATAACCTGATTGATTGACTGAAGAATCTAGAATGTATAACCAGGATAACAATTCAAATAATCAAAATATAATATAGCAGTCTTAAAAAATGATTATACAATTAAAATGATATTCAATAGAAAAAAGAAAAAAAAAACAGTACTTTTTATATTTCACTTTATGTGTGGCTACTTTACCCCCTTCAAGTCAGTGCATCTGCCTGAGAGAGAAGAAACCAACAGTCTGCATACAAATAAGTCAATGTGCATGCTAAACTAAGTTCTGGAACAAGACAAAAGTTAAGAAGTGGACTAACAACCATAACCTTCTGTTTGAGTTTACAGCCAGTAAATTCGAAAAAGAAGAAGATAAAGAAAAAGTATAAAATAGAAATACAGTATACATATCTCGATTACAGCCTTAAGAGAAACAGAATATTATTCCTATAAAATTGCTAATTACTATGTTGTTTTTTTATATCAACATAAAGTGAAAGTAAATGAGAGATGTTAACAGAAGTGTTTTGGATATTATATAAGAATGAAATCTGATCAATCTCCAAAGATCATACAACCAAAAATATTTTTATTTAGAACTAGATGATAAAAAAATATGGAAAGGCAAAATCTATGGCACAATAAACAAATAGATCCTTATGGTTAACAAGCATGATTTAGAACAATGTCACCATATGCCTAAAAGAGATGACCCTTAAAAACTGCCATTCATTACTGCCTGTATTAACAATTTTGTGGCGCAGGCAGGAATGGAGGGGGCAGGAAAATCTTTGAGCTTAAGAGAGAAAACAGTTTTTAAGTAAAATAGGTTAAAGACCCTTTTCAATCATTTGGGCGCATCGGGCATAACATCAGCATCATCAATCAGCAGGTCCTTAACAGAACATCACTCTCACCACAGCAGGCCTGGAAATCTCTCTTTCTTTAGCCAATTCTCCAGCCCTATGTGCTTTCATAGCCAATGCAACTTCAGTCTCTTGTATCCACCTTTGTGGTGGTCTGCCTCTGCCTCATCATCAGGCATACAGCGCTACACCAATCAGTATTCAGTGGGTGATGTGGTAAACGTCATGTTGGACAACAGATAACAGACAGCCAAATTTGCACTGGACAACAAGAAAGATAACAAGCAAATTCTGCCCACCTTCTCAACGTGTGGCAGGCCATCTGGTCCCAGAATCATGGGTTTCCCAATATCTGAAATGTCTGGAAAATTAATCAATACAAACAAATTATTCAATCAATCAACACAGCAAAAACAACAGCAACAAAATCAGCAGGAAAAAAAAAAAAACACAAATAAATGTCAGCATTAATAAGAGTTGCTAAAACAACAGTTACAGTAACAGCAAAAACAGCAATGAAACGCAGATGAGAAGTGTTTGTGCATGCTTGTGTGTACATGTTTGTATACATGTTTGTGTTATGTTTGTGCATGCTTGTTTGTGTACAAGTGTATATGATGTATGTGTGTGTATGTGTTCACATGCGTGTGTACATGTGTGTATACGAGTGTGTATTTGTGTTACCTGAGCCAATGATGCTGACATCCGGACTTGTTGTCGACACGGGTCTCACTGGTGGTGAGAGTTTCTTGTGTTTCCTCTCATTTTCCTTTTCTTGTTTGGGGCAAACAAAAAGAGTTAACTGTCAGCCAACATTCAATGGAATATCCAAATACGGCTCAGATAAAGGAAAAGTAAAAGACACTTTTTATGCCTGTTCTATACCAGGCACATAAAGCTAGACTCGATTTGTTTATAGATCATCAGCCCTCGGTGAGTGACATGGTCAAAATCACGCCAGCCACCTTTACTTCCCAGGACATTACCTGATACCCATTCTAGGCTGATCAACCTGGAAGCCAAGAACAGTTTTAAAAAAAAAAGAATTTTTTTTTTCTTTTTAAATCAGGCTCAATGCATATGTTAAACAAATGAATCCACATAATGTCAAATACTAGCAGTATAAAACAATATAAAAAAGAAGATTGACACAGTTTGAATCAGCTGCCATATCAACTGTGTCATTTCACTGCAAATAATTTATCAATATATCTGTGACAATCTTGTGTGAAGAAGTTAGACTATGACAACATTTGCTAAAAGTTGAATTGAGGCAAGATAAGCATTTTTATTAACCCATGCATACTGCTAAATGAATTGGTTATGTAGCTTTTTGAAAACATAACATCAACAATAAAAGTTTTACAGTTAAGGCAATTTGTCATTGCAGGTAATATAAACAACTTGAGAAAAAAAAAGTATGTTTCAACGTATTGAGTTATTTTAGGTGTATGCTGCTAGTCCCATAGACCTAGTAGCATACAATGATATTTGCAAATGCACAAAGGCTGTTTTTACTTCTGAGATCATTTCCTAATGCACAAGTTGGGCCAGGTCATTCTGAGAGCTCACGTCGATGAAAAAACACAAACATGTTGAAGTGGAATCTATAAACTCCGGACCAGCAGGTTAGCAGCCATACTGTCATAGCTCAATACTGAAAATGTCTTCAGAGGAAAAAGAGAGAGAGAGAGAGAGACAGAGAGAGAGAGAGAGAGGCGGGGGAGGGGAGAGAGAGATAGAGAGAGAGAGAGAGAGAAAGAATGAGAGAGAGAGAAAGAGAGGGAGAGAAAGATAGAGAGAGAGGGTGAGAGAGAGAGAAAGAGAGAGAGGGAGAGAGATAGAGAGAGAGGGAGAGAGAGGGAGAGAGAGAGGGAGAGAAATAGTGAGAGAGAGAGAAAGAGAGAGACAGAGAGAGAGGGAGAGAGAGGGAGAGAGAGAGGTAAAGAGAGAGAGAGAGATAAAGAGAAAGAGAGAGAGAGAGGGAGAAAGAGATAGAGAGAGAGAGGGAGATACAGACTGTGAGACAGAGTATGAGAGAGAGAGTGTTAAGAGAATGAGAATGCGTAAAAGTGTGTGAGAAAAAGAGTGAGCAGACAGAAACGAATGAACAAACGAGCAAGAGACAGTAAGAGAGAGAGAGAAAATATTAAAGTATGACACACAGTGAGAGAATATGAGACACAGTGAGAGAAAGAGTATGAGAGAGGGACTGAGAAAGAGTATGAGTGAGTATGAGAAAGAGAAGGTAAGTGCAAGAGAAAGAGAGAGAGAGAGAGAGAGAGAGAGTGAGAGATGGTAGCCAGTGATGAAAGAGAGATGAAATAGTCAAGTGAAATGGAGAGAGAACCAGCCTTGAGGCAGACAAAGGTCAGAGATGAGAGATCAAGAAAACAAAGAGAGAAAACAAGATGAAGAACAGATGAGTGGGATGGACTGAGATAAGAAAAGCAGACAGAAGAGAATAGAGGGAGAGAAATTAACTAATTTAATTAACCCTACAGCAAATACTCCAACTACGTGAAAATATTTTTGACTAAACATAACTTCATCTAAGACTTTTGTGTCTACTTCATAATAATCACATTACAGTAAAACCTAATTAACATCGACTTACTTAAAGAAAAAAACCCACTCAGTTAACAGCAGGGATGTAATATTATTTTTCTCGTCAGCACATAAAAAAAAAAAAATAGCAAACTCTTGATTCTGTGGTCCCTTAGACGAGTTAATGAGGTTTTAAATTAGTCTACATTAGCAAAACAAATGTATACACTGTGTGTGGAGGTTGTGAGTGAAGTAGGATATATTAATCTATAAAAGTAGTCAACAGCAATCTATAAAAGAAACAGCATGACTTTGAATGTATTTATAAAATAAATATACAAGTGAAAAATTCAAGTAATTAAAGGAATTTAAGAAACAAGAGTCCTTGAATAGAAAAGTAACTCTAAGGTAGATTATGTGACTTCTTCTTCTTCCTCTTCCCCCCGCCCCACTCCCAGCATTCCGAATCCTTGGGGTTCATTGCTGCAGAAATTCACACACCTTCTTCATTGCTGTGAATGGTCTTTTCTGTCCTGCTGGTGACTCCAAGAGTTTGTTTTGTAATTCTGTCTGTGCATTATCTCTCCACAATGTGAGGAAGGCAAGTGGACGTAAAACTCATAATAATGTCATCATATGTATGAGATTTCCTTGGCATTTGCACAACAGTATCTTCTGTGAAAACAGTATCTTTTGTAACAACAATATCTTTTGTGATAACAATATCTTTTGTGACAAAAGTATCTTTTGTGACAGCAGTATCTTCTGTGACAATAGTGTCTTTAGTGACAACAGTATCTTCTGTGACATTAGTATCTTCCATGACAACAGTATTTTCTGTGACAACATTATCTTCTGTGACAACATTATCTTTTGTGACAGCAGTTTCTTTAGCAGGCTGTAATGTTATACCAAAAGTCTAATCCAGGCAAGAGGAGAAGCCATTGCTTTCTAACTTCCTGCTGTGTGTCCATGTTTTGGATAACCTCTGTTTAAAAGTCTGGCAGAGAACAAACCACATCCCTCAGAAAGAAAATTGTGCACCCGCGATCACACCAAGTCATGATAGCAAATTATTATTTGTATTAGAAGAATAACAATATTTCTTCTTCTCTTCTTCTTAGTTTTCACCGACACCAGCTGAAACTTCTGGTTGTTTATCCACTTCTGGTCTTTAATCTTATTTCAGAATTTGAGATTTGCATGCACACTCATTTGACAGATCTGGCTTATTTTAATGCAGACGATTCTTCGCCTCTCAGGCAGATTCACTCCAACTTTAAAGGAAGTGCTCAGTTAGTCAACTCTTACAACGTGCTTGTTTGCAAGGCAGTGAATGTACTCCCCCTCCCCCACACACACACACACACTGGGGCCCTAGAACCCACGTGGGGAATAAATATATAAACACACACACACACACGCACAAACACTCACACATGGTGGCAGTTTCAAATAATGGAGTTATTTGTTTATTCCTATTGTCCTAGCCGTTGTGATATTCACAATTTGCTCTCCACCTTCTTCAAAGAGATGGGCAGTTCAATAAGGACCTCTTTCCTTCCAGTGGTGCATCAGCCATGTGATGCTGGACTCATTTATTTTTATAGACAGTTTTCCATGGGTGAACTTTACCTAGTCCCTATTTTAGGCTGGATCAACATGGGTGCCGCCATCATTTTTGCAAAAAAAAATCTGACTTTGGGGCCAAGGGCAGAGTGTCTAGCAGTGACATCACTACTGCAGCTTCTGAAAAGTGTTAACTTTTGCTGGCACTTATCACGGAAAACATACTTTGGAGAAGATCACAGCACTTATGGGTATGCCCAACGGGCAATGAGGATGATCTTGAAATGAACAAGGAACAATGAACAATCACAAAATTCACCCCATCTCACTTAGACGCGAGATTTTGTGGCTGTTCCCAAGGGCTGTCCAATGTTTTAGGGGTGTTATGAGATGCCCTCCATTACCTGTCTATCACACTGTGGTGAAAACTGCCTCGCCTGGTTGACACACTGTTTCTCAGATAAAACTGTGCAGCTTTCTTGTCGCAACTGTCTTTTCTGTGAACAACTGTTGTTTCTCAAATATGTTGTTGTGATTAGCTCAGGCACTGCAGGCGCTTGTGTACAAGGAAAAAGTACAGCAGGGGAAGTGCTGAAGGCGTGACGGTTCATGACTATGGAATCACTGATGTTTTGTGTATTTCTACACTCGCTGGTGATGGCTGCCGCTGATGTGCTTAAAACATTCAAAACAAGCAACATCTAACACCCCAAGAACATAGGATAGCCCGTGGAAGCAGCCACAAAATATCGCACCCAAGCAAGATGAATTTAATTCCGTGATTAGTACCTTATTATTCTGCCATCTATCTATGCTTTATAATTTCAGCTATCTACTTACTGACCAAAAACTGTTCAAATTTTACTTTACAAAATACTGTTAGTTTTTATTTACTGTGGATACAATTTGTCTGGTGCAGTTCAAAAAGTAGTTAGTATAGATAAATTATACATTTCAAATGTGTAACCAAATAACATTGAAAAAAGCCAAATAAAACTGAAACTCAAAGAATAAATATTTGTGAAAACCTGTCCCACCAATGTGATGTGATGCTAACAATAGAAGGAAAAGTTGAAAAGTAACCAATGAAATGAACTTACTACTCTGTTCATTGTCACCAGGAGGTAACTCCACCATTTCCTCTTCACCTAGCACTTATACGGATAGTGGGAAGTCACGAAATAGTTAGAAAAACAGACAATACACAAAATCCACACAATGAGAGGTAACCACATTGTTGTAATCAGGCATAGTAAATATAGTGAAAACAGAGGTCATAAAAGTATTATAATCACAGACATAACACGCTGTATATAAAGGGTTAATGAAAGTAGAACACTATGTGGTCGTAGTAATTTTTCACAAAAATATCCTGTTCAAACCTCAGGATTATAACTGAGATATAAAAGTGTTCATCGAGTTCTCAGAGTATGAAATATCATGAACAGACTTCATCAAGAAGGTTCAATATTTGTGGAAAGGCATAAACACTTATATCATTTGGCCAGGAATGCAGTGGTGATGTATTGTTTATGGGAGAGCCCGATGATGGAGGAAAAAAAAAACTTTCCTTAAATTCCCCTTCACATACGTGTTTCCTTATAAATGACCCCCCGTGTGGGTTCCAGAGCCCTGTAATAGGGAAAACAAGAATAGATCCACTGCCTACCCAAAAGCATGTCGTAAGAGTCGACTAATTGGGAGCTTCCTTTAAAGTCGGAGTGCATCTGCCTGAGAGGCAAGGAATGAGCAGTCTGCACACAAATCAGTCAGATTTGTAAAACGGATGCACGCGCAACACTCAGGTTTTGGAACAGGACTGCAGTCCAGAAGTGGATGAACAACCAGAACTTTCTGCCAGAGTTTACAGCTGGTGACCGCGAAGAAGAGGAAGATTATAAATGCAAAGACCTTCTACAAAAGACATATGTGAAATCTAGTCATTTCTTTCATATGTAACACTTTTTGTTTTGTTCTTTTTGTTTTGCTTATGGCTATATATATTCTGCAATTGTGTGACTGCTGGATAACAAGTAAAACAACATTAGCACAACTGTGATTTATAATTTGATCAATACATTTTCTGATATTCTATGAAGGTTGAAACTAGGGCTGTACCGAATATTCGCTTCGTATTCGCTTTGGGGCTGACTAGTGGACTTAATAACTATTCAGTATTTGGCCGAATACTTGCGGTCAAGCCAAATACGAATAGTGGTTATCTTACAACCAGCCGTTTTGCATACACTGAGATGGACTGAAATAACTCTCTCATTAACACAATAGTTGCTGTTGCCTAAGTCTGTTGTAGCGGGGAAAACTGAGACCTGGTTGCATGGTACAGCAGCTGGCAACATCTTTGCCTGCTGACTCGACATAGGCATTACAGCAGAGGTTCTCAAACTAGGTGCGAATGTCAGGGGTGCCACGGTGAAAATCAAGAAAAGTCGGCTATAAATTGTGATATTTTTCAAGAAGGCATGAAGATACATAAAAGTTAAAATTTAAATTGTCTTTCCTAGCAACTGTCGAAAAGAGTTTTTTTCCCTTGTTTCACACTCAAAGTGTATCATACTGCATAGAATGCCAACTGCAGCGTGCTAAAAATTGTTTTTGTATTTATCTCGAGGTGCGACTGATCTTCCATCTGTATTTGTAAAGGTGCCGCGGATAAGTAAGGTTGAGATTACATTTTGGCTGACATTTTAAAGTGGAAAATGTGGTCTGTACAATAGTCACTGTTAGCCTCGTCAAGTAAGCACTTATATCTAAAGGCAGTGCGTTGTGAGTCCTGGACAATCGGTAGGTAGGCCAAACAATTTCTTGAGGCTTAAGAGATGTGGTTTTACAGAACAATGCTTAAAATACCCTGGACAGCCAAAAAAAAGCAACCAAGAGGTTTTGAAAGTTGAGGGAGCCCGAAGACAACTAATCACAGACATCCGAAGGAGACAGTCATCATTTTTCAGCCACGTTATGAGAAGAGGGAAAATGGAACATGTGGTGACCACTGGAAAGATCTGTGGATGGAGGGATAGAGGAAGACAACGAGGGAAGGTTCTTGACAGTCTTGTTGCATGGCACAGAGGTGTGTTAGCACACGAACTAATACATGCTGCAGGAGATCGCAGATTGTGGCGAGGCATTTTCACCCATGCCAGTCGGCAAGGCACCTGATGATGATGATTCACTATTTGTATTCGTATTCGTATTTGACCGAATAGTTGGTCCCGATATTCGTATTTGGCCGAATAGTGAAAATCACTATTCGATCACTATTCGGTACAGCCCTAGTTGAAACAGAAGCAAAATAGATTCACTGTAGTTCTACTCAATCATTACATATGAAAATGTCCAGATTATATAGACAACCAAAATCATTTAGGTCCAAAAGCGTCATCAAGTTCATATAGATCAAACGTGTATTAACAAATATTAATGTACATAATACTGATACTTTTTAGCAAAGATAAAACAAGAAGCTAAAGAATATAAAAAAAAAAAAAATAAATTAGTACACTGGCTATCCTTTATGCATATGTCAGAGGAGATTGCACTTCTTTTATATGGTCAGAGCATACTAAAGAATCTGACATCATATTAATTTTGTTTAAAAAAAGGTGATACACTTCATCCTAATACAAAAGACAGTGAAGTTCATACTAGAGACAACATTGCAGATATACAGATAATTTATTTCAAGTGAACGAAAGAAGAAAAAGAAAAAGAAGATTTCATCTTTATGAAAGCAATACAATAGTGATTTTGTTATTACTGCCTTCCTCTGGCAGCTGCTGATATCTTCTGGAACCAAAAGAGTCAAAGAAACTTTGAGACCACTTTTCTTCAAGACTAAGTTCAAAGTTTTTTTTCTTTGAACCTCATAGTGATCTTCATTTACAAACACACTTCAGTGGCTTTATTATGTTCTATTAAAAAAAATGTCACTTCAATTTCTTTTTACATCCTTTTTTTTTTTTTTAATACATAAGAACAATTTTTACATGCTTTTAATATATTTTTGGACTTTTTTTTGGGGGGGTCATTTTTGAAGCAAATAATTCACCATGCAAATTTTGACAATAGTAATTGGTTGTTGAGTATTTTCATTGTAAATAATTTTGACATGGCTTCAATACACATTCTAAAATGATCTTAAATTATAACAACTAAACAGAAATTTATAAGAAATGACAGGAAGCTGGGATAAAGCACAAGACATATCACACAAGTTAATGTATGATCTATAAATTGGTAAATTAAGATAAAAGACAGCAATACTAAAACTAGAAAAACTAAAGTTTAGCCAGACTATGACATCTAAGCTGAAAAAATATACCTATAATAGTTTAAAAGTATTTTAAACATGAAATAGTATTGCCACAATTCCTGTGTGGGCTCCAGGGTATTTTAAGAAAAACAAAAATAGATTCACTGCCTGCCAAACAAGTATGTCACAAAAGTATAATCGGTAGATTATTTTGAAGTCTGAGTGCATCTGCCAGAGAGGCAAGGAGCCAAAAATCTGTATAAAAATATGTCAAATCTGTAAAATGGATGTTTACACACTCAGATTCTGAAACAAGACAAAAGATCAGAGGTGGGCGAACTTTTCACCGTAGTCTGAAGCCAGTGAATGAGAAGTCTAAGAAGAAAAAGTATTGCTACAAAATCATCATCATCATGTGCTTTGACATGGGTATGACTATATAATATTATTATCAATGACCTTTATTAAAGCAAAATATTCTAAGTAGGATTTTAACCATTGGTATCAAGCAAACTGAAAGCCACTGCAGTGCCATGGCTAGATGCTTGCTTGTTGGCGTAAAGATCTTGAGTTCGAATACACATTCAGGAGAATTATTTTTTTAAATAACAGACTCTTAGGTCGACCCAGCTTAAATGTTTACCAGGCAATGTCCTGGAGGGTAAAGATGGCCAGCACAATGCTGACCACATCACCCATCAAGCTCTGACTGATCTATATGAACTTGGGTCTAGCACCATACACCTGATTTATCAATGGTGTCAAAAGGATTATTTTTTTCATCTTCTATCAAACAACCTGCATTTATACATTTTGCAGTTATTGGTGTTGTTTTTTTTTTTTTTAAATTTTGTTTTCTTCTTTGCATTCACTGGCTCTGAACTCTGGTGGAAAGTTCTGGTCGCTCGTCTACCTCTCGATTTTAGTCTCATTCCAGAACCTCAGTGCTGCATGCACAACTGTTTTACAGATCTGACATATCTGTATGCAGACTGTTGATTCATTGCCTCTCAGACAAATGCACTCAGACTCTGAAGGAAGTACTTAATCACTCGACTCTTAAGACATGCTTTTTGGAAAGGCAGTGGGTCTATTTGAGTTTTTAACACCACCCCCCCCCCCCCCCCCCCCAAGGGGTCCAGAAGCCACAAGGGGAAAAAACATTAACAAAAATTAAAACAACTGAAGAAGATTTTGAATTAACTCTTTGAGTCCCAAGAACACATCATATGTTCATAGATTCCTACTTATAAGCCCAATGAACGCATGATGCGCCGATATTAGGTTTCTCTTGACTACCCCTTGGGCCTGGGATGCTAAACCCCCTGGCACTCAAAGAGTTCACTTATTTAAATGTCACCAAGTGTGATCAGTATGCCAGAATGGCATTTTAAGTATTTAAAAAAATTTGTTTTCATTCTCATGAGATGGTACTCACCTTGTGCCGTTGTAGGCAAACCCACCAAACGACTGTCCAAGCTCTGCACTTTGCTGTCATAAAATGTTCTCAGTTTATCCATGTCTTGTTGCAGTTTGGCTTTATTGCTTTTTTCCATTTCAAATGCAGTTTTAATTTCTGTCATCTTTTCCTCATATTCCTGGTGGAAGATTTAAAAATTGAGTTCAAATTTTAGATGGCAAAAAAAATTAAGGTCACTGCTGATAGTTTGATCATAAAGTTGTTAATATAAATTTAAAAGAAATAAATATAATATAAAATTTATGTTGGCTGAAGGTAACACCACATCATAGCCTCAGTGGCTAAGTGGTTTAGCCATTCACCTCATGCTCTGAGGGTCATGGATTCTTTTCATTCAGTTCATGAAAAAAATTTATTTTTACAGAGGTGCCTGAAGATCCTTGCTGGTGCTATGGAGTTCATATTCTGTGTTATACATTCTAACAGTTCTGTGGAAACACTGAACCTTATGAATGACAACCTGGTGCAAAGCAGTGGATTCTCCCAGCTGTAAACCTTTACACATGGGCAACCTGAGAACAAGATGACTGGACAACTTATTCCCTGTCACTGTGACAATATGGCAATATGTTTCTTAGTCCAGTGGAGCTGAATTATGCAGCTGGCCACTTTAAACAAGTAGAAGATAAGGACTCTTTTTACGCTGGTGGTAACTGGGGCATATAAGGATAGATTCACATTTTTAAAAGACTAATCAGTACTTGGTGGGCGATGTTGTCAACATCATGCCGGCCACCTTTACTTCCCAGGTTATGACCTGGTACCAACTGTAGGTGGGGCTGACACTGGCCACAATACTTCATAAAATGAATTCCCAAGTATAAAGTGTGAAGTATTCTAGTCATGTAGGTAAGGTAATGTTTATGTCGCATTCCTTGACCTGTATTAAGTATATGATGTAGACCCATATGTTTATATACAAATCATTTTTCACATGGTGACATTGTCAGTAACATTCTAGTCTTTACCTCCCAGAACATAGTTCCAGTTTTAAAATGGGTCAGTCTAGAAACCCAGTTCAGTCTATTTTAATATCTCCAGTTTGATAGGGATTTGAATTATGTGACCAATGGGTTGCCAGGCAAGTATGCACTACTATCCTGAGCCAAGTGGCCATAACAAAATCTTGTTTTGAGAGGATTTTGAAACCACAGCCTCTTCTTCACGGTCACCGGTTGTAAGCTCCGGCGGAAAGTTCTGGCTGTTCATCCATCTCATCGAAGAAGAAGCAACCAGAGCCATTAGGCCAGCTTGTAATTACACCAGCTATTTTGCTACAAAAAAGAGCAACCAAGAGGTTTTGAAAGAGGCGGGAGCCCGAAGACAACTTATCACAGACATCAGAAGGAGATAGTCATCATTTTTCAGCCATGTTATGAGAAGAGGGAAAAAGGAACATGCTATGAAAACTGGTAAGATCTGTGGAAGGAGGGATTGAGGAAAACAATGAGAGAAGATTATTGACAGTCTTGTTGCATGGCATAAAGGCAGGTCAGCACATGAACCGATACATGCTGCAGGAGATCGCAGATTGTGGAGAGGCCAGTCGGCAAGGCACCTGATAATGATGACTCTGCTACAAAGTACCATCTCCTAATATATGCCGGAGAGACATATAATCAAACTGCTACTGGTAGCATAAAGGTTATGGTGCTTTTGGGGATGTCCTGAGTAAGGTGATGTCAATTCCTAACTGAACTAAGCTCAACTCTTCTTCTTCTGCCTTTCTATCCCCCAATGGAGCATAGGCCCTCAACCAACTCACACCAAGTCGTTCTATCCTTCGCCATTGCATGGAGCTCTCCCCATGTCCTCCCAATTTTTCTAACCTCATTCTCCAGCTCTCTTCTCCATGTGTTTTTTGGCCTTCCGTTATTCCTATGCCCCTGTGGGTTCCAATGCAAAGACATTCTAGTTATGCTGTTCTCCTGTTTTCTCAGTGTGTGCCCTATCCAACGCCAGAGTCTTTTCCTCACCTCTTGGTCCACTGGAGCCTGTTTAGTTCTCTCCCAAAGTTCTACATTAGTTATTCTATCATACCATTTTATTCCCTCTATTCTGCGCAGGCATCAGTTAATGAATGTCTGTAATTTATTAGTAATTGCCTTGGTTGTTCTCCATGTTTCCGCCCCATACAATAGTACTGATTTGACATAAGAATTAAAAATTTTTAGTTTAGTATTTCTTTTAATTTATTTTGACCTCCAAAATTTCCCTAGTGCTATGAAAGCCCCTCTTTCCTTTTGTATTCTTATTTTAATATCTCTATCAGTTCCTCCATCTTTATCTACATTACTGCCTAAATAGGTGAACGACTCCACATATTGGAGTGGGGTGCCATTAAGAGAAACCACATTACTATTTGCCTGATTTATTCTCATTATCTTTGTCTTTTCTTTATGGATTTTCAGACCAAGCTGCTGTGATCTTGCATCAAGTATATTTAATTTATCTTGCATCTGATTCCGTGAATGGGACAGAAGAGCAATATCATCAGCGAAGTCAAGATCATCAAGCTGTTTTGTAGGGGTCCGCTGAATTCCATTCTTGGTGTTAGCAGTTACTGTTTTCATAGTCCAGTCTACAGCCAGTAAAAATAAGAGAGGCAACAAAAGACATCCCTGTCGCACACCTGTTTTATTTCAAATGCATCTGTTAGCTGTCCCTCATGAAAAACTCGACATTTCATGTCTTCATATGTGTTGCCTTTACTAAGCTCAACTCACAAATAAAAGTTACAGGTAGCACAGGGTCAAGGTGCTTTTGGGGATGTCCTGAGTACGGTGATGTCAGTTCCTAACTGAACCAAGCTCAACTCAACTCACTAATAAAAGCTTCTTAAATCTAAATCTGGCAGTATCTTACTACCTCTTTGAGTTTCTGTTTTTCATGTTCCAGTTGCTCACGGACTGGGTCAAGGTCATGTGGGGAGTCTTGCCTTTTGTCAGTGCCTGTTGAAGTCAGAAAAACAAGAATAATCAACTAAATGAACTAATGTGCATCTAAGTAAATTCTTCTGACCAAGGCAGCTAATATATAAAAATTAAAAAAACAGTTTGCAGGAAATAAAGAGTTGAAATAACAGCTGTTGAGAACAGAAGGATGTAATTTAACAGAAATATAGTAAGCAACAGACAGGACACAGAAAAATGTCGAGCAACATTTAGGACATAGAAATATGTCAAACAACCCGTGGTCAAGTTGGGAAATAACTCCTTAGAGCGGAAAGAAAAGAAATTAAACTATAATAAGTTTAGTCACATTATGGGAAGCCACTGTTGTGTAGCAGCTCGAGACTTACCTGTGGGCTCGAAGCATGCGGGTTCAAAACCACATTGAATCTGGTTTGTTTCGAAAATTGATCTTGGCTCTCGGGTTGTTCCTGTCTAAAGTGGGTACCAAAAAAGTCCTGGGAAGTGAAGGTGGACAGTGTGATGTTCACCACATCACGTACTGAGTGCCGATGGTAAATAAAATACATGTCAATTTTGTTTTTTTGTGTTTCATAAGCTGTCAGGTGAGCTGTGAAAAAATTTTCCTTGTTCTGGTGGCTCACAGGTATAACAAGGTTGAGGAACACTGACTTCAACAACCTACAGGGACAACAAATGCAACCCAAGACATGCTCATATGTAATATGTGCAAAACAGACCGGTAGTCTGCAAGTGTGTCCAAAGTGTTTGAAAGTTGGTTGTGTAAACATATTACATTACACATGGAAAACATACTGAGACAAAAATAAAACATAATAATATATATAGCTGAAAAAATTCTCGGTGCCTTAAGCATTGCAAACATGCTTTGTAATTCGAAGGTATCCGGTTCAATTCTAGCTGCAGGTGATTTGGCAGCAGACCATCTCATGTTGTTTTAAAAAGTGGTACTGAGAGCCAACAATTCAGAAGCAATTGTAAACTTCCAAACATAAAACTACCTAGTAAAATCAGAAACATAACTGATAGGCAGGTAAAAAGAAACAAACAAAAACTATCCACAAAGTAAATCAGCAAAAATCTCGTACCAGAGATGCCAGGTTCCAGAGGTATCTGACCTGCCAGCATGGCCTTTAGCTTGGCAATTTCCTCCTGATACTGTCGAAGCAGAGCATCCTTAGGATCTTCATTGATCCTGGGCTTGTTTTTGATGTTCTTTGCTCGATTTGCATACCGGAGTGTTGAGAGTGTTTCATCGTAATTGTTGTCTGCGGGAGACAGGCAAGCCACCATCATCGTCTTTGTGTTGCCTCCGAGAGAGTCCTGACAGCAGATTTTGAAAATCATAGTTACTGTTTACTTTAGATATACCCAAACAATTCAATAATCATATTAATTTTCTGTTGTTGTTGATGTTGTTGAACTAAGAATTGACATCACAGCACTCTGGACTTTCCCATAAGCACTAAATCCTTATCTTCAGCAACCAGTGAAGAGTCATATTCCAATGATGCTAGTAGCAGTTTGATTATGTGTCATTCTTGCTTTTCATCAATTCATGACTCTGCATTGTTGGCTTTCTCCTACACACTGCTCTCAGATTTGTTTAAAAAAGCACACTCAAATTATATAAGTTTTAACGAGCCATAATCAGTTTATTCTTAATATATGCAATATGAAATAACCCAAACTAACTAACAAGCATGAGTATACACTACTGAAATAAAAAAAACCCAGTGTGGGTTCCGGGATCCCATTCTGGGGAAAGGGAAAGAACAGAAAGCACTGCACACCTAAGAAGCATGTAGAAAAAATGACTTATGAACTTTAGTCTTGCTCCAGAACCTGAGTTTTGTGTGCATATCTATTTTACAGATTTGGCTTACTAGTATGCAGACTGTTGGTTCCTCACCTCTCAGGCAGATACACTCTGACTTTAAAGAAATCATTCCTAATTAGTTGACTCTTCTTTTCCCAAACTGGGGCCCATAACCCATATGGGGTGATCACAGTCACTATTATAATCCTTCCAAGTAGCCTCAGTTTAAAATACCATAAGGTTTTTTTCTGCAGTGACAAGCTTATAGAAAGCGATTACAATCCTAGACACATGTAAATTATTAGTTTGAAAAATAACATTGTAAAGGAATGTTAAAAATTTTTTTATGGACTTTTTTCAGGACACTATAAATTTGAAAAAAAAATGTATCATCAATTTATTTCTAAGCTATAATCAGGATACAGATCTTATTTCCCCATTCACATTTAGAATAATGTGTTGTTTTGCTAATGATCTGCTCCTGAATTTTCAGAGTCTTTGTGGTTATCCTCTGAATGTTATTGAACAAACTAGGAAGAGATCTGAAGCAGCAAAAATGTGATTTCTAAGATAATTGGTGTGTATACCTAGGACCATTCAAGGCATATGCTAAATGAGGAGAGAAGGACATAGAAACAGAGGTGGACCAAGAACGGCACAGAAAGATAACATCAGAGATAATCTACAACAGCATGATGTGTCTATGACTGAGGTAGCCAGAAGAGTAAGAAATATCTCCACCTACATCCAAAGCGGTAAAATAGAAAGTGAAGAAGAAGATACCCTGGACTGCCAGAGTAGCTAACAATTATTTGAAGAAAAAAAGCTCTGAAAAGTATAATATTATATGCATCTATAAGAAAGAGATGGTGTTCTTTGGTGAGGAGTTAGGAAGAGAGGTACTGGAGAACATCATGGCAACTTAACAATTCATAAGTAGAAGAGGCAGATGAAAACTGAAAGAAGTGATGCTAGGAGTCCTAGCCACTACAGATAATTTTGTAACTGTTTTGTGGTGCCCAAATATAACTACCCTATATGGCTATATAGTTGACTGCAGTTTCCTAGATTTGTCCCTGTCTGTTTCTCATCCCTGAGATGTTAATTCTACAGACTGCAATCTCTGAAGAAAAAAACTTTTAAAAAATGGTACTAGATGATCTAAGACTCTGAGAAGCCTTGATATAACTGACCTGTAGGAGTCGAGTCAGCTTTGAGTCTCTGTATGGGATGTGTTTGGATCTGCCATCAACTAGTGCTGAGATGACATTGCCAAGAGCAGACAGAGATAAGTTGATCTTTGTGGCTTCTTTCAGCCTATCCCCAGTGGCACCTGCATAAATACAGCAAGTAGGTGATTCAATCAAATTAATAATCAACAATCAAGTTGTGATAAATTTATAACACTTATTCAGTCATACATCTACACATTAATTATCACTCACTAAAATTATGAATTATAATAATTGCTGAATAAAATGAATCCTTCATTCATTCATACACTCAAACACTCCACAACCACACAAGTGCCAGTTCTACAATTAAGATTAACTGTATGGATCTGAGAGAATTTATTATCTCACTCTGTTTCTCTTTCCCTCCCTCACTCTCTTTGATGGCACACATAAACAGCCACTGTCGTTCAACTCGTAATGTTATCTCCCCCCATTTGTATAATTTCCTATGTCTTGATAACTACATCTGTACTTAACCCAGCCCAAGAGAACATCTCTGTCTTGTAGCAAATATTTGAAAAACATCTTTTCCCTGCAGCGCACATGAAAGCTGGAAATGTATCCAGTGTACTCAATTTGTATACTGAAGCATTCTTGAATGATTGTGTTTGAATGATCATGCTTGCCTGCCAGCCAGCCAGAAGGTCTCAAGTCATATCCACATCGCGAAAAATAAAAATAAAAATATGTATTGGCCTTGGCTCTCGGGTCATCCCAGATTAAAATGGGTACCAGGTAAAGTCCTGGGAAGTAAAGGAGGGTGGCATGATGTTAACCACATAACCCACTGAATGCCAACTGGTCTATAAAATGTAGGTCAAGTATTACATACCCCATAGACCTATTTCCTCTGTAAAGCTGCATAATTCACTGCCAGCGTGCCATGTCTTATTTCAAAATTGCAGTTTTAAAGAGAAATTCTTTTTCTTCTTCTCTTCGCTTCTACTGAAGGGAAACTCCTGGTTGTTCATCCATTTTTAACTTTGTTTTGTTCAGGGGAATTGAGTGTTCTACACACATCCATTTTGGACTTTGTTTTGTTCCAGGAATTGAGTGTTCTACACACATCCATTTTGGACTTTGTTTTGTTCCAGGAATTGAGTGTTCTACACACATCCATTATGGACTTTGTTTTGTTCCAGGAATTGAGTGTTCTACACACATCCGTTTTGGACTTTGTTTTGTTCCAGGAATTGAGTGTTCTACACACATCCATTTTGGACTTTGTTTTGTTCCAGGATTTGAGTGTTCTACACACATCCGTTTTGGACTTTGTTTTGTTCCAGGAATTGAGTGTTCTACACACATCCGTTTTACAGATAATGCTTATTTCTGTGTAGACTATTGGTCTTTATCTCTTAAGCAGACGCACTGGGATCAAAAGAAAGCATTGATTCAATCTATGTTGGAAAAAGTCCTTTACTTTTACTTCATACTAAATATTATTGACTTCTATCAAACAAGAACAACAGCTTACCAGTTTTCCCTTGCCTCTCACTGCCTGCAAGGTCCACTAAGTTGAGCTTCCCTGCCCGGATGTGCTCTTCGCCCTCAGAATCTCTGGTTATCATCTCCAAGCTGATGGTGAAGATGGAATGACTCCTGGAAGAGTCTGCGTTCATCAAAGTGGCTCCTGTGCTCCGGTTGTGCCAGCCTTTGTTCATGATGTGCTCGCATTCAGTCACATTGTGCACAGGGTGCATAGACAGACCTCAGAGGCAGACGAAAAGTTATTGTTATTCTGAGATCTTGAGAAATGTTTGAGGAGCTATGCAGATGTGTGTGATTCAGTCCAGCAATAGTTTGTGTGAAGTCAAAGGAGAGAGACTGACAGAAATAGAGACATATGCAGACACAGATGGACAGGCAGACAGACACAGGCAGACTTTAATCTACTGTGTGTGTGTGTGTTTATAGATGCAAGGTAGATGGGCACACATCATCACAAAAACAAAAAACTTACAGACTGACAGAAAGAGAAACAGATAAAGAAACACAGGCAAATATAGAGAAAGAGCGAGAAAGACAGTTAGTTAAATGGAAAGGGAATTATAAGGTTACACAGAGGAAAAACAGAAAAAGAGAGCAGGATGGAAATAGAGACAGAAGGACAAGTGAGTGATTGTTGGAAAGAGAGACAGAGCAAAAGAAAAGGCAGAAAGAGCAAAGGTAAGACAACATATAAAGAAAATATTAGTACACAATACTTGGGGATCTTAGTGATATCTTAGTTGATATCTTAGTTGATATCTTAGTTGATATCTTAGTTGATATCTTAGTTGATATCTTAGTTGATATCTTAGTTGATATCTTAGTTGATATCTTAGTTGATATCTTAGTTGATATCTTAGTTGATATCTTAGTTGATATCTTAGTTGATATCTTAGTTGATATCTTAGTTGATATCTTAGTTGATATCTTAGTTGATATCAATAAAGTTTAGTAAACTGTAACGGTACATTTTGATATCTAATTTTATACTGCTGTATTTACCATTTACATAAACTCCTTTCTCCGGGTGCTCTTTCAGCTCTAATTTATGTTTCACATCTTTGCCCAGCAAATCTCGAATGTCTTCATTGTAAATCTCTAGAAATGAAGCATGGATAAGAAACTTGGTTGCCTGTTTGATGCTGATTGTCTCAAAGATGTGAGAAAATGCTCTGAAAAAGAACAAAATTAATATTGTTGTTTGACACATTTCTTGCATTGAATATGAATTGCTAGTTTCGGAATAATGGAGATGCAGAAGTGGTGAACCAAACAAGGGAGTACACAGGACCAGGATGTAAACTGGTCAAGACCTTTCTACATATCTCTGTGGTCATCCTAGAAACATGTTCTCAACCAGGAGCTGGCCAACATATATAGAATCTACACTTTCTTTGGTTGGACCGCATCTGCCTGAGAGGCAAGGAACCAACAGTCTGCACACAAATAAGCTAGATTTAATGGATGTGCAAGCAACACTCAAGTCATGAAACAAGATAACAGACTATAAATCAGGTAATAACCAGCAAGTTCTGCAGGAGTTAGAAGCCAGTGTACATTAAAAAGAAGAAGAAGCAGAAGAAGAAGAGGAGGAAGAAATAATTCTCCTTAAAACTAAAATATACTGAAATGATACACAGCAAGCTGGCAGCTGACTATGCTCCAGTACAGAGGGGGAAAACAGGAACCACAAACACACACACACAATTACCTGGGAATAATTCCCTTTTGGGATGCCGGAATTGTGACTCCTTGCATAGAAAAGCTCTTTCCACTTCCTGTTTGTCCATAAGCAAAGATGGTTCCATTGTACCCCTCTGTGACCCCCTGAAAGTAGAATGTTGCCACTGTGAAGTAAGATCAACAGTCGAGCTGACATTTTGCAGTAGCATATGTTTTTGACAGAGACATTTTAAAACAAAATATAAAATAAAGTTATACATTTTGTAGAAGAATGTGTACTGAAACTATGCATTCTGTGGTTCCCTAAGTATTGAAGAGTTATGAATTAAGACCTTGCATCACAGCTCTCGTGACATTCACATATGTGCCACTTTCCCATCTTTAGCAGCAAATACAGAGTTCCAGTTCCAATGCAGCCAGTAACAGTCTGATTGTACGTCTATCTCCCCCCCCCCCCTTTCCCTCAGTGTTCAGCGAAAGCCAGATCCCCCGAACACTCCTCGCTGCACCATTTTTTTCAGACCCTGTTGATCTGTTTGTGCTCCAGCATTGTTCACTTGCTCACAAAGGGTACTTGTGGCATCTTGCTTGTCATGCATCAGTTTACCACCAAGTGGTGCAGAACCAGTCAGTATGTCTACCTATTCCTTTCCTAACACACCAGCATGAACTAAGTATTGAAGAATACGGACTGAAGTAGAACTTTTCAAAAGCTGATTGGTTTATAAACAATATTGTACTAGCTACACATACCCATATGCCTGAATGTGTAGAAATAGGTCCCTTTTTTTTTTCAAGCTCAATATTGTGTTTCTACTTTCCTTTGCCCACCATTATGCTGGTCCACTTCTGCCTCTTCTTCAAGGAAACATGCCTTCCATTCATGTTCCTTCTAAACCACTCAAGCATTAAAAAAAAAATATTTTAATTTCAAAACATAATACTGTTTATGTGCCAGTTATCTTCTATATGCAGATCTTGTAGAATGTCAGTTTCTTCTTCTTGATCCACTGGTACCTAAAAATGTTTATACTGCCTAGGAGTGAATAATGGGTAGTTGGCTTATTATGCAAAAGCAGAGGAAATATGGTTTTAAAGAGGAATGTTGAGAATACCCTGAACAGATAAAAACAGTAAGGAAGACATCTTGAAAGAAATTGACTCACAAAGAGAACTGACAGCCTGACAGCATGGCATGGAAAATTCTCTGTGTCATAACGGATTGAAAGTATATGAAACAGAAGTATGTGGACAGACATGACTACCAATGCCATATGGCATGGACTATAAGAACAATAGGAAGACCCCCCCCCCCCCCCCCCAAAAAAAAAAAACAACAACAACCCCAAATATCAAAGAAAATATAGAAAAAAAAATATAACATTTTCACAAGAAAGAAGTATAAATCTCAATACCTCAACAAGAGGATAAGCCACCTCGCCATAAATGTGATCTGTAGTGGATTCAATAAAATAGGCACCATCAAAAGTAAACATCTTTGGTGGAGCTCTCTTGTCAGAAGGATTAGTAATGCTGCACTGGCCTCTTCCTGAATCCATGGAAATAACAGTTGCACATTTTAAACCTTTCTCTCTATCATTCATGGGTCTGCAGCGGACGATCACTTTAACAGACTCTGCCATGTTACTTGTGACTGGTTGTTCACTCTCTCTGAAGTGAAAATAAAAAATGTCAAAAATCAGATACTAAAATAAATGTATGTGGCACCTCCAAAACAAAGTTTAGCTATTGTGCTCCCACTTGTGTCTTTGGAAATAGATTATACGATTTAGATGAAACCTTGATCACAGTACAATTCTTGCACTACTGTCTGAAAGCAATGCAGTAGTGTCTGAAAGCAATGCACTACTGTCTGAAAGCAATGCAGTAGTGTCTGAAAGCAATGCACTAGTGTCTGAAAGCAATGCACTAGTGTCTGAAAGCAATGCACTAGTGTCTGAAAGCAATGCACTAGTGTCTGAAAGCAATGCACTACTGTCTGAAAGCAATGCAGTAGTGTCTGAAAGCAATGCACTAGTGTCTGAAAGCAATGCAGTAGTGTCTGAAAGCAATGCACTAGTGTCTGAAAGCAATGCACTAGTGTCTGAAAGCAATGCACTAGTGTCTGAAAGCAATGCACTAGTGTCTGAAAGCAATGCACTAGTGTCTGAAAGCAATGCACTAGTGTCTGAAAGCAATGCACTACTGTCTGAAAGCAATGCACCAGCTTAGTTAGTACAGTACTGATGACATCAGCTCTGCCCATGTGTCTTCCTGTATGCATTACTTGCCAGCTGGTTTGACTTGTTCATTACCTATTACTCCTGCATGCCCATATGTGTAGATCCAAGTGATGAAGGTTAACAATTACCTCTGAAAGCTTCAACTCACTCAGAGCTAGCCTATTGATTATATCCTTTCATGTCACAGATTTGGACTTTCCAGCATAATCAGTGCCTGCCTTGTCTACCATTGTCATAATGTTCTCCAAGACCAAGGCCACAGCACTTCTACAAAAACTTACCTGATAATTACACACATTATATATGAGCACAGAATGCACAAACAAAAATCACAAAGTTTAATGTCTGATATATTATTTATTAAGCTGTATTTCATAAGGCTGCTTCTGTGACTATGACTTTCAATTCTTATGTTGTCTCTCTGTCATAAAAATAGCTTCACATATTGATGACATTTTTTTCTCATGCTATTTTAATGACTCGATAGTTGACACAGAGGATAGAAAAACAAATGAAGCAGTCCGCATCGACACAAACAAAAGTCGTGAACTTTTAACAATTAGACGTAGACCAGTCAATGTCTTTTTAGACATGTAAAGAGAAGGAATGGACTTGAGAACGTGGCAACAACTGGCAAGACTGATGGAAAAAGAGCAAGAGAAAGGCAAATAGATAAATACATGGATGTCCACACCAGATGGATGGTGGGAGACCTAAATGATCCGTGATTCTGGTGATTGTGTAAGATGGTGAAACATGACAGACTATGCTTACTGGCATGGCCCCTGATGATGACGAATTGCCTAACAATTGACACAGCCTCCTTTTGAGCCGATATAATGCAGGGACTTAAATACCTGCAAACTGGTCCTGTCGGCATTGGTTCAAATCTAGATCAAAGCTGATTTATTTCTTACAATTACAGTGTCTCCAATGCTGATTGAGTCTAAAATGGGTATCATGAAATGGCCTGGGAAATAATTATAGCTTAGGATTATGAATGCCATTTATAGTTCTGAAATACCTAGTTTGATTCAGCTGCAGGCAATTTGGCAGCAGACTATTTTGGCCATGGTGTATATAGAGTGCTAACAGTTCAAGGGGTATTGGTAAACTAATAAAGGTAAAATTGCCCAGTAAAATCACAAGTTCAGCAAAAGCAAAAGCAAACAAACAAACTTATTGGTTTGGTTTGCAGCCTTGTAGGTAAGTAAAAAAAAAAAAAAGCAAAGGATAAATACCCAAATAAAATAAAAAAAATCGTGTAAGGTGCACATTCAGACATGAGCAAGATAAAGCATAAAGCATAAAGACATGAGCAAGATAAAGCATAAAGCATAAAGATATGAGCAAGATAAAGCATAAAGATATGAGCAAGATAAAGCATAAAGACATGAGCAAGATAAAGCATAAAGACATGAGCAAGATAAAGCATAAAGATATGAGCAAGATAAAGCATAAAGACATGAGCAAGATTAAGCATAAAGACATGAGCAAGATAAAGCATAAAGATATGAGCAAGATAAAGCATAAAGACATGAGCAAGATAAAGCATAAAGATATGAGTAAGATAAAGCATAAAGACATGAGCAAGATAAAGCATAAAGACATGAGCAAGATAAAACATAAAGACATGAGCAAGATAAAGCATAAAGATATGAGCAAGATAAAGCATAAAGACATGAGCAAGATAAAGCATAAATATATGAGCAAGATAAAGCATAAAGACATGAGCAAGATAAAGTATAAAGACATGAGCAAGATAAAGCATAAAGACATGAGCAAGATAAAGCATAAAGACATGAGCAAGATAAAGCATAAAGATATGAGCAAGATAAAGCATAAAGATATGAGCAAGATAAAGCATAAAGATATGAGCAAGATAAAGCATAAAGAACGTATCTTTTTGGGAGTCGCCCTGGTCGAGCGGCTAGATGCTCGTCGTGGATCGGAAGGTCGTGGGTTTGCTCCCTGGAGGAGCCAGACTTTTTTCAAAAATAACCTTGGCTCCCAGGTCGACCCAGCCTTGAGTGGGTACCGGATGCAGTCCCGGGAAAGTAAAGGCAGCCGGCATGATGCTGAACACATCACCCATCTTGTGCCGATTGGTTAATAAAAAATATAGGTCCAGCCCTATATGCCCTATACACCTAAAGGCGTGGAAGAGGGTCCTTTACTTTACTTATGTATCTTTTCAACAGAAACCAAAATACACACATCACTGAAATGCAATGGCCTTTGTTATCAGAGTAATTATCGAGACACAGCGAAATATGTCAGGAAATAAATTATGCAAGCTGTTTATCTCTTCATGGAAATGTCATTTACAACGGGAAAATGTGGTCTCTTTTTAAATTGAAAAAAAAAAAAAAAAAAAAACTTAATCTTTGTGACTAAATTATAATAAAATCTTTAACACTGTGGCATAAGAAAGAGCTTCGTCTATATTAATTTCAACAAAAAGCTGTGATATGCCACACTATTCGGCGCCCACTATTCACATCACAAATGTGTGTAATGCACTTTACATCTTTCTCACACTTTGCTATGTGTAAAAATAAAAAAATAAAAAATAAAACGCTCAACACTATAAAAAAAAAAAAAAAAGCGAATTATCTGGTCAAATTATGCAAAGTTGATGCTAGTTCACCTCACAAATATTTGTCATTCCCTCTTTAATCTGACCATAGTCACGCGTTGCTATGTGTAAACAAACACCTACCACGGTGAAGAAAGCTGACAATCTAGTGAAATTATTCAAAGTTTGTGCTGTCAGTCAGTCAGATTGGTTTTATATGATAAGAAGCTCACGTCCTGCAAACTATATTTTGCCCCACATATATAATGTAGCATTATTATAATGTGATTGATGGTGTGTATCCAACGTATTGCTAGGTAAGTTATTGATCGCCGGAGACTTCCGGAAGTTCAAGAAAATGGTAAACATTTCACTTGTTTGTTTCGTATCATTTTATCTCCAGGAGTTTAGTTTTAAGCTTATCACCCTCATCTCATTCTTTCTCATCTTCTTCTCTTTCACATTGTAGCTTAGTTGGGGGGGGGGGGGGGGGGGGGGGGGGGGGGGGGGGGGGTATAACATTCGTTGATGAGCTCTGTCAAGAGCACTATTAAGATTGATGGGCGTTTCTTTAAGGCTGTTCTTAATGCAATCTTAATGATCTTCTCTGCGATACGCAGCTCGCTTGGCATTAATTACATTATCCATGTCTAGTGCTGGCCCATCGTGGTAACCGCGTTGTCTGCCATAAAATCTGTGCGCTCATTACCTTGAACACCCGCATTCTAGCACAATTATAAAGGTTATACAAGTTATTTGTGATACATTAAATGAGAGAATCCATTTAATCCGTTGAAACCTGACTAGATTCTCCACGAGCCTATTAATGGAATCGCTCAGTATGGATGTATGAGTGAATTCTTGAGTACCCAGCCATGTCAGAGCCCGTGTTGCAGGAATGGTCTCCATGGCTGTAACAACAAAGGGCACCACTCATCTCTTCAGTGGTTTTTCACTGTGCGCTCACAGTGAACGTCCATGCACTTCGCTTGCCAGGGTGACCGATCCATCCGTGTAAACCACAGCATATTTGTGTATTCATCAGTCAGTGGTTTGACTAAAGTGCCCGCTGTGTCAGGAATCTATTCTCTACAGCTTCATTCGAGGGTGATATGGGCCGTGATGCTCTGTTGAATTATTGCTGACACGAAACATACCTTTGTGCACTAAAAGAATTTTAAAACAAACATTAGTTGGAAGCTCAGCTTTATGCTGCTAGTGTCAAACCTGGCCCCTTACAAACACTACTAAACGCAGAATCATAACAACACTGATGCGATGTTTTAGAAGAGCTACCAAAATAACAAGTAAAAATAACGTTAAAAATGAAATTAGAAGACTAGGAATGAGGCTAGTGACTACTTCAATACGTCCGCTTCTCAGTCTTCTCCTGCCTCTTGGTGTTTAGATTTTCATGTTGTTCGCTGTAGTTGCTGGCATCGTTGGTTCAGTTCTTATTGGATGGCCAAACCCTTTCATTCTTTGTTTCTCAATAAATTTGACGATGGGCGTTGTTCCAACAGTTCATGTGATCTCGTCGTTGCTCGATCTTTTCTGGTTTTATTCACAGCCATTCTCAAACATCTCATCTCACAGATGGTTAGTTTTCTCTCGTGTTCCCTTGTCAATGTCCAAGTCGGACATTTAGTCACCTAAAGTCGGTATAAATATTGTATTTATAATCTGTCTTCGTGTTTCTATTCAGATAGCAGGGTGTTTTAAAAACTGGAGCAAGTCGGTACGTGACATTGTTGGCGGGTTGATTCTCATTTCTCTCTCTCTGTTTACCTTACTATTCTATGTAAATATGCTTCCTAAGTAT